CCTAGCCTCACATAACTATTCAAAAGAAAAAAAAACCAAACAATATTTCCAATATGTATTTGAACAAAGGGACAACAGGAAGTAAAATTGAACCACCAAACGACTACTCGAAGCACTAAAACATTTCCAATATTCATACTCAAGTAAAGGGGCAGCAGTAAAAATAAAACCGAGCCCCAACAGTTATTCAAATTCAATTATAGTTCCAATAAATATTCAGATAGAGGCATCAACAATAGGAGCAAGATTGAGCCACCAAACTATTCTTCAACTACAATTATAGTTCCAATGTATTATTCAAATAGAAGCATCAACGATAGGAGCAAAAACTGAGCCTCAGATAGCTGTTCAAAACCAAATAATACTTCCAACATATATTCGATCATAGGTTAGCAGGAAGAGAAAATTAAACTATCAAAATAAACTGCTCAAAGCTTGGTAATTCCAACAAATTTTCGAACAGGGATAACAGTATAAGGAACAAAGCCGAATCATCAAATAAACTGCTCAAAATCATGATAATTCCAGCAAATTTAATCTCATAAATCTTATTTCAAGAAATTTATAAGAATAAACCGATCTTCTCCAATAAGCATCATATATCCATGGGTCTAGATTTTTTTTTTTTAAAAAAATAAAATTGTGCTCAATGTTCAAAAATCACTAATAAAATAAACTAAAAGAGGATGTCAAATTCTCAGATAGATCAAGACAGATTTTATAAACTCATTTGATAATGATCTTGAAAGTCCTTTGAAAGGGCCAAAGAAGAAGAAGAGAAGAACTTACCTCTGAAAGTTTCTAGAGGGTGTAAGAAACTATAGAAACAATAACCAAAACAATATCCAGCTCCCACGAATGAAAGAGGATAACACAGAAAGGAAATGCCAACCAACTGAACTCCTTCCTCAATACACGAAAAGAGATCAAACCCTGGAACTCTCTCCAAATAGCCCACAAGGAAAACCTTAAGCCAAGAAAAAAAATTCTCAGATTGTCTTAAAAAAAATCCTTAATCCTTCCCCAGAGGGGGTATTTATAGCCAAGGGAAGGAGGAGTGGTCACCGATAAGACTTACACATTTGGGCAGGAAAGTTTGTTAAAAAAAAAGGCTTACTGACAAGGCGACCAGCGACGAAAGTCGGTTAAGGCCGACGAGGAAAGAGATAACCGGAGAACCGGAAGAAGCTTTGAGATCCGGTCAGGAGAAGGGAGGAGGAGGAAAAAGTCTGGTTAGGGCAAGAACGATTTCGATAGGAGGAGGGGAGGAACGTGTGTGAGAGTTTAGATTTAGGAATTTTAAAACCCTTCTATTAAAAAATGATTTTATTATTATTATTTTTAAATAAAATATCAAATTTCTTGCAAGCGCGGTATTCTAACAAAAATGAGTGTCTTTTCTAAAATCAACGTCCCAAACGCACCGGCGCAGTCTGTGTCATCATCTGAGGTCACCTGGACAAGTTTGTCGACAATTGCACCAAATTAACCTCAATTTATGTGTGTTGCGGCAAAAGAAGTTATTTTGGTCCAATCAGAGTGATTTAACGAGTATATCATTGATCGGTCCTCCCGGTCCTCGCAGTAGAAAGTCAAACGTCACACACATCGTGGGGTTCACCTATGTCTTTCAAATTCTTATAGTAACTCAATAAGAGTTTCGATATGTCGGCTTTTCAATTGACTCAATCGAATCTTGGGGATCTGAAACCATCCATATGAAACCTCAAAGAGTGAAGAAATGGCTCAAATTTTTTTAAGTGGTGTAGGTCCTAGTCTAGTCCTCTAGGAGGGTCAAAATAGAGAAATCCTAAGGCTAGATCCTAGGGTATTTAAAGAAAGAAAAATGAAGACAGGAAAAGAAAAATGAAGACCTCAAAATTGAGGTCAACAAATGGACCCCCAATAGGTGTGGTGTGCTGCACAAGCACGCTGCGCTTATTGGTGTTGACCAAAATGATTAACAAAATCTTAAAGAATGTCCAAGTAACCATACTTGGGACAAATCGAATGTCGAATTGAAGTGAAGTAAGATTTTTGTTGGGAGTGGGTAGATATCTTTTGACATTACTGTCATGGATTTGAATTTTTAAATGACTTTCAAAATATGTGTAAAGGAAACATTCAACATTTGACAATAATATGAGAAAATGTGTAGAGGAAGAATCAAGATTAAACCTTATTCGAAAGTATGTAGAGAAATAAGTGAAGCAGGAAGACTATATAAACTCAGAATACTGTTGGGGAAGTCACATCTGAGTTGAAACTAGTCGAAAAAATGTCATCTGTTTTCTTAGGATTTATTACAGAGTCGAAGTGGACTTCTCTTCCAACCTAAGTGAAACAGGAAGAGACCAGTTAAACTAGGAATAAAGCTGGGGAAGTTGTATCTGAACTGAGACTAGTTGAGGAATGGCAATCATTAAGGAGATTACGCCAAATTCCAAGGAAAGACTATACCAATTCGGGCTACCGTCAGGGATATTATGTTTGTACTATATCTAGTCAAAGAATGGCCACCATTAAGTATATTACGCCAAATTTCAAGGAAAAACTATACCAGTTCGGGCTACCGCCATGGATATTATGTTCGAACTAAATCTAGTCAAAGAATGGCAACCATTCAGGATATTACGCCAAATTTCAAGGAAAGACTATACCAGTTTAAGCTACCGTCAGGGATATTATGTACGAACTAGATCTAGTCAAAGAATGACAACCATTAAGGATATTACACCAAATTTTAAGGAAAGACTATACCAGTTCGGGCTACCGTCAGGGATACTATGTCCGAACTAGATCTAGTCAAAGAATGGCAATCATTAAGGATATTACACCAAATTTCAAGGAAAGACTATACCAGCTCGGGCTACCACTCGGGATATTATGTCTGAACTAGATCTAGTCAAAGAATGGCAACCATTAAGGATATTACGTCAAATTTCAAGGAAAGACTATACCAGTTCGGGCTACCACCAAGGATATTATGTCCGAACTAGATCTAGTTAAAGAATGACAACCATTAAGAATATTACGCCAAATTCCAAGCAAAGACTATACCATATCGGGCTACCGCTAGGGATATTATGTCTGAACTAGATCTAGTCAAAGAATGGCAACCATTAAGAATATTACACCAAATTTTCACCAAATTTTAAGGAAACAAATTTTAAGGAAAGACTATACCAGTTCGGGCTACTGCCAGGGATATTATGTTCAAACTAGATCTAGTCAAAGAATGACAACCATTAAGGATATTACGCCAAATTTCAAGGAAAGACTATATCAATTTGGGCTATCACTAGGGATGTTATGTCCGAACTAGATCTAGTTAAAGAATGGCAACCGTCAGGATATTACGCCAACTTTCAAGGAAAGACTCAGAATGTTGGCACTAACTCCATGATGGGAATTGGAATCTGAGTACCAGTCCCAGAATGAGAATTGGAATCCAAGCACCGACTCAGAAATATCGTGAATGTGAAAAATATGTGAAAGGAATCGACGTCCCTATACCAATCCTGAAATATATGAGTATAGGAATTTGTTTCAAAATGTGAGATATCGTGTAAGACTGTATAAGAACGTGATAGCCGTATGAATTTATAAAGATGTGAAGAATCATGTGTAATCGTACGAGAATTGTGTGTAAATGAAGTATGAAATGTGCAGAATTTGAAGACTTATGGAAATGTGAAATTTGTAAGGTTTACAAGATTGTGGAAATTTGAAATTTGTAAGGTTTACAAGATTGTGAAAGAAAAGACAAAATTTACATAAGTATAGGAACAATCAACTCGTGGTGAGAAAAGTTTATTTATATGAAATTTTCATGATTTTTTTTTTAAAAAATGTTTCATTGTTTATTATTAATTAGTTTTATATATATATGTGTGTGTGTGTATATATAT